TTCAAAAGGGAATTAGATAGGCTTCTGGAGCAGAGGTCCATCAGTGGCTATTAGCCACAAGGTATAGATAGGGGCTCTGGGGCAAGTGATGCTCTGTCTTCTTGGTGCTGGAGGGGGTCAACAGTGGGAGGGCTTCTAGTGTCCTGGCCCCACTGCTGGACCTCCTGAGGGCACCTGGTATTTCTGGCCACTGTGGGACACAGACTGTTGGACTGGATGGGCCTTTGGCCGGATCCAACATTGGCATCTCTTATGTTCTTAACCTCCTCTTCTCCAGACTAAGCATTCCCAAGAAGCCCCTCAGCCTCTCCTCATAGGGCTTGGTCTCTCAGACTACCTCCCACAGACCTGGGAAAAAACTAGTCTTGCATTGGAGTCAATCCTGTATTTAAGGTAGGGGCTCCCCAACGAGATGCCCAGGGGTGTCATAGCTAGAGATGTGAAGGCCCGGAAAAAACCCGGAAAAAAAATGGTTTTTTTTCCGAGCTTCAAAATTTCCGGAAATTTTGAAGCTCGGAAAAAAAACCATTTTTTTTCCGGGTTTTTTTCCGGAAAAAAACCCGGAAAAAAAATGGTTTTTTTTCCGAGCTTCAAAATTTCCGGAAATTTTGAAGCTCGGAAAAAAAACCATTTTTTTTCCGGGTTTTTTTCCGGAAAAAAACCCGGAAAAAAAATGGTTTTTTTTCCGAGCTTCAAAATTTCCGGAAATTTTGAAGCTCGGAAAAAAAACCATTTTTTTTCCGGGTTTTTTTCCGGAAAAAAACCCGGAAAAAAAATGGTTTTTTTTCCGAGCTTCAAAATTTCCGGAAATTTTGAAGCTCGGAAAAAAAACCATTTTTTTTCCGGGTTTTTTTCCGGAAAAAAACCCGGAAAAAAAATGGTTTTTTTTCCGAGCTTCAAAATTTCCGGAAATTTTGAAGCTCGGAAAAAAAACCATTTTTTTTCCGGGTTTTTTTCCGGAAAAAAACCCGGAAAAAAAATGGTTTTTTTTCCGAGCTTCAAAATTTCCGGAAATTTTACATCTCTAGTCATAGCGCCCGCCAAGGGTGTTTAGAAAGTGGGCAAGGCCATGTGGTCTATTTGCTCAGCAAGCCTTCTAACTGGCAGTACAGATTTCTAAAAACATTGGCTCCGCAGTGGCTGCCACCACGGCACAAGGATCTTCAATGTGGTCAGCGGCGGCAGCCATTTTGTGGCCGGCTCCACAGCCTGCAACAGCCATTTTCTATTGGTGACGTTGCCGCTGTGCCCACAATGCTGCATCAGTATCCCAACGGTGCCCACTGGCTCGAAAAGGCTGGGTCGCTTCCATTCAGGCTTTTTGGGGGGGGGGGGGGTAAGAAGTGGAAAGAGAAGGGACAATTCGGTACTAAAATGGATGGTAGGCAAGTGTAGAGCAGCCACGTTTTTTGCCTACCCTTCCGCCACCTTCATCCTTTTCTGTCCTCACCACCACCCTGCAAGCATCTGACCGGCTGATAAGAAGAAGAGACTGGATTTATCCCTAACCCTTCACGACCCAAAGGTGTCTCAGAGCGGCTTACAAACGCCTTCCCCTTCCCCTCCCCACAACAGACACCATGTGAGGTAAAAGAAGAAGAAGAAAAGATTGGATTTAGACCCTGCCCTTCACTACCCAAAGATGTCTCAGAGTGGCTTACAAACTCCTTCCCCTTCCCCTCCCCCCAACAGACACCCTGTGAGGTAAAAGAAGAAGAAGAGATTGGATTGATACCCTGCCCTTCACTACCCAATGGTGTCTCACAATGGTTTACAAACTCCTTCCCCTCCCCACAACAAACACCCTGTGGGGAAGGTGGGGCTGAGAGAGCTCTTGACAGAAACTGCTCTTTTTCAAGAACAGCTCTTATCAGAACTACGGCTTGCCCAAGGTCATCCAGCAGCTGCAAGCGGAGGAGTGGGGAATCAAACCCGGTTCTCCCAGATTAGAGTCCGCGCTCCTAACCACTATACCAAACTGGCCCCATAAGTGCCATGGTCGGTGGGAGGACTTGAATCTGGGGCTCTCCGATCTTAGCGACACTCTCCAAGCACCACCCTGGGCAAGGTAAGGGGAGGGATGGAGACCGGCAGTTCTGTGTTCCCACCCAGCCTACGTCCAGGAGAGCTTGCGGTGTTGTATGTTAATCTCCAGTAGACAGATCATTATGATCTAAGCTGACAGCTACCTGTCAG